TTAGTTGAATTACTATTCTGTAAATACACTGATGTATACACAGCTTTAGTCTAGAATTTCTTTGGCAAATCCTTCTCAGCCATCATACTCTTTGCCATTTCCATCACTGATCTATTTTTCCTCTCTGCCACTCCATTTTGCTGTGGCGTATAGGGCACTGTGAGCTGGTGATGGACACCATTTTGCTCACAAAATTGATCAAACATCTTGGAGGTATACTCTTTGCCATTATCAGACCTTAGGACCTGAATCTTGCAGCCTGATGGACTCTCAACAAATGCCTTGAATTTTCTGAAGATTTGGAACACATCAGACTTGTTTTTCATGAAGTATACCTAGCACATTCTTGTACAATCATCAATAAAGAGTGTAAAATATCGATTTTCACTCAATGATGGTGTTCTCATAGGACCATAGATATCGGAATGTACCAGCTGCAGTTTTTGAGTTGCTCTCCAAACTGTTGGAAATGCTTTCCTATGCATCTTTCCATAACTGCAGGCTGCACAAACTCCTCCTGGCTCTTGAATTGCAGGAAAGTTCCTTACCAAGCCTTGAATATGCAGATTGGCTAATAATGACCATATCTTTTATGCCACAAATCTGATTCATCAAAGTTAACTTCAGCAGCATTTGCAATCACATTTTGCCAATAAATACTGAAACTCTTATTCCTCATTGGCACACAAGCAATTTCAGCATTATTTGAATCATTTATCATGCATAAATGGTCTTTAAAAAACAATGTATATCCATTTTGAACCATTTGACCAACACTTAAAAGATTAGAACTTAAACCAGGTACAAGTAAAACATTGTCAATGTACCTCATTCCCTTCTTTGTTTGAACTGCAATGGTTCCAATTCCTTTGGTAGACACTACTTTACCATTTCCCATGTTGATTTTTGCTTTACAATCTGAGTTCAAGCTGCAGAAAATCTCCTCTTTGTTGGTCATATGATTGGTGCAAGCACTGTCATTGAACCAAGAGTCTTCCTCCTTTTCATTTGTCATGTGAAACGCCAAGAATAAATGATCTTCAGCCTTCTTCTCAGAAACCAGAGTAGCTTGCTGATTCTGGTGTCTGTGCTGATAATGAGTTGGGGTGTGATTTTGGCGATTAACTGGACAGAACCTTTCAGGATGCCCAACCTTATTGCATACTTTACACTTATGTGCTTTCCAACAAAACTTTTCCAGGTGATTTGTTTTGCCACAAACACCACATTGAGGATGTGAATCTCGATCTCTACTTGTCCCCTGTTTGCTGTTATTTCCTTAAATCAAATTGCCTCCTATCAACATTGCTCCTGGAATACTACTATTTGTGCTTGGCTGCAAAAGCTCCTTCCACTAACTTCTCACTCCTTGATGCCAGCCTTTGTTCAAACGACAATAATGCACATGTAAGCTCAGTTAAGGTGAGGCTTGACAGGTCTTTAGTATGCTCAATGGTTGTAGTGATAGCATCATATTTTTCAATCAAAGTAATCAGAACTTTCTGAACTACTCTCTTGTCTGTAATCTTCTCACAATTTAGCTTGATTTGATTCACAATATCAACCACTCTTGAGGTGTAATCCTTGACCTTCTTTGTTTCTTTCATCCTCAGATTTTTCGAACTCCCTAATTTTTTTCTGAGCCTTTAAACTTTTCCTCAAGCTTATCCCATGCCTCTTTAGCTGTAGTTACAACCACTATCCTGGGAAAAATTTCCTCTGACATGGCTGTAAACAAGAAAGACAAGGCTTTCATATTCTTCATGGATTGATCCTTCTGCTGTTTCAACTGAGCTGCTGTGTAAGAAACATCATCCTCCGGTTTGTCATAGCCTTGCTCAATCGCTTCCCATAGATCATGAGCCATCAAGAAAGCCTTCATTTTAACTGACCAAAAATCATAATTTTCACCATTGAACACGGCAGGTAGAGGTAAGGATGAAGAGTTTGAACCAGACATTTTTGTTTATCAGATTTTTTTTTCTTCTTCCTTCAGCTACTGGTTTTTGGTTGTCTTCTTTTCTTCTTCTCCCCTATTTTTGTTTTGGACGGATCTTACTTTTTCTCCTTAAGCTCTGATACCATTTGTTGGAGCAAAGAAGAAAAGAAAAACTTGGAGGAACCGTGTGTCATTGATTGAGCAAAATGAAGTCAATGATAAAGATTAAAAACCATACCTCTTGCATAGTGTTCTATATAATCAACTAGTACAAGGATAAATTATAAACTAATGCAACTTGACATGTAATGAAATGATAAACTACCAATTGACATTCATCATATTATAGAACGAATGATGGTCAAAATGAGATTAAGTATTCATAAAAGCTTCATTATCCTTCAGATGCAACAAAAATGAAGAAACAAAAAACTTTCAAAAAAGCCAATCTCTCACTGCATTTCTAAAAGGGTCTGGTCTGGAAATCTCTTCCAATAACTCAGAATCTCTCTAAGATAATTGTTTGTATTTTCAAAGTACTCTATTCTTATTAAACAAATAAACTGGGCTTATAAAGCCATTTACTTCAAAAATAAAGAAACTAACATCAATAAGCGAAATAAAAAGGCATCCACTTCTGCGAAATGATCCATGCACTTCTCTGTAGTATAATTACTGCGTAAAGAATTTGACAAAGTCAATCAGGAACCATAAACAAGTAGTGCCAATAACCAAGGGAAACATGGTCTTCAAAACATGGGTTTTGAAGTCTTTATTTGCAATTGAATGAAATAGAAACTAATTGAAAGAAATAGAAAAACAGCTGCAATTCCTTGCCAGCTTTGGCCACGTGTTGTTAGTGTGGCAAGCCACCCACCACTTAATCCTTAACTTGCATCAATTACTCTTTTGAATCAATGTGCAGACATCTTGACTATAGTCAAGTATACATATTTTTATTTTATTTTATTTTTATCGTTTTTAGAGGTAAAAACATAGAGTTACTAAAGAAAAGATAAATAATTAATGTTGACGTTTGGTCAAGAGTATATTTGAATAAGTTTAAAATGTTTAGTTACAAGTAAAGTGTAAATAAATTGCTATTTTATTAGTCAAAATTAGATTTCAATAAGTTACTTATTTGCCTAAGGTAGTTGTTACACAATGGGTAACTTTTTTTTACATGAAAGTAAGAAAAAAGTAACATATTGTAGATTACGTAAAAGTACACTTTACATTTTCCTTAAAACTTCTCTAAACACACATAAGACTTCAACTTAAAAAGTGAACTTTACATTTTCAAAAAACTTTCATTTAAAATAGAATTCACATGAGTCTAGAATAACAGTGTGAAATTCTCACATATGAGGTGGTGGTTCCCACAATCTCCTTTCACATTCTCACATAATAAAAAATATTTTTAAATTTAATAATAAATTATTATTTTTTATATAAAGTCTAATAAATTTTAATTACAAATAGATTTTTTCATAAAAATGATGAAAAAAATAAAAAAATAATTATTAGAATCTTTAGTTACAATTTAGAAAATAGAGATAAAAAAATAAAAGAGAGAGAAAAAAAGAAAAATAGAAACAAATATAACCGTTGAATTTTTATTTTTTTAAATCATGACTAATGTTTATGAAAAGGAAAAAGAAAGAGAAATATAGAAATAAATAAGAAACAATTTTATTTTTTTTTTTTTGTGAAAATCTCCCAGAATTTCGGGATGAATGAATACAAATTTTGAGATTTTAATTTAGTACTTTCTATTTAAAAGTTAGTATCTTAGAGACTTTCATAAAAGTATTAAAAGTCACTAACCATTTGAATAATCCAAACCTTATAGAGAATTCTATAAAGTTTTAATTGAATATTTTACGGTTTCTTTTTAAAAGTTTATAAAAGTTTCGATTAAATACACTAATACTTTTATAGAGTCCCAAAAAGTTTACAATAAATATATCTTTAAACTTTTTAAATTTCAAAGGTCTTTAAAAGCCCAATTGAATAAACAATCTAAGTCTATTTTTCTTCACATATAGTGATCGTTTGATTTCCCACAAGTGAACAGCACTACAAGAAAAAAGGCAATTTGCAACATGCAAAAGGCAACATTCACCAATTGCATGTTGCTAAAAGGGGTTTATGGCAACATTTAGCAGGTGTATGTTGCTATTGGTTGACAAAATGGAGTTTTGACAACGTTTTTTTAATGAATGTTGCTAATGCACCCTTTTGCAACGTTCGCGGTCCGTTGTCTTTAATTTTGTTTTTGCAACGTTCAATGCCCATTTACAAAATTGAGTTTTAACAACGTTTTTTTAATGAATGTTGTTAATACACTATTTCACAGCGTTCGCGGTCCGTTGTCTTTAATTTTTTTTTTGCAACCTTCAATGCCCGTTGCTGTTAACCTTTTGCAACGTGCAATGCACGTTGCCGTAGATTAGTTTTAGCAACGTGCAATGTACGTTGCCGTAGATTAGTTTTAGCAACGACACGTTGCCATTAGATGTTTTAGCAACGTGCATTTGAACGTTATCATTAACCTTTTTGCAACGTTCATTGCACGTTGTCATTAATAGTTTTAGCAACGCGTGTTCATTGTACGTTGCCATTAATAGATTTAGCAACATTCAAATGCACGTTGCTATTGATATTTTAGCAACGTGCACTGCATGTTGCCATTACTTTGAATTTTATTTTATTTTATTAAATATAAAAAGAAAAATAGTGACTCTCACCTCATTTATCCTCCCCCTTCCTCTCTCCTGACTCTAAACCGTTGCGCGCTATTCTACACTAACACACCGCACACGACCACACCCACTCACGGCACCAGTCTCCATCTCTCTCACAGCCACGCTCCACGGCTTCGTGCACTGCCTCCGCCATTCCAACTCTCACTCCTCTCTGAGCTCTCTCGGTCTCCTGGTTGTCGTTGCTCGCCTGCTCCGATGATGTCATGAAGAGGTAAGTTCCGACACTCAACACTGCTTTTAGGGATTTTGATGTTGGAGAAGTTGTGCGTTTGGATGAGATTTTATTAGGGATTTTAGGGATTTAGATCTATAGCGATTGCAGCTTCCAGATTTTTGACTTCTTTAGGTATAGAGCCAGTAAAGGAATTTGAAGACAGGTTCAGAGTCAAGAGATTTTTCAGGTTCCATAGGCTTGAAGGTAGACTAGAATTCAATCTATTGGAACTCAAATAAATCTCTCGTAGAGAGAGAACATTTCCTAAACACTTTGGAATTCGACCCGAGATTTCAGTTTGATTCAATTGTAATATTCCCAAACTAGGTAATTCACAGAGAGAGTTTGGTTGAATTCCAATCAACCGGCCTAGGGACAAACTCCGATCTGGGAAGAACAATGCTGTCGACTAGAATATCACAACACCAGCAACACGTTTAGCTTATAAAATGCTGTCTAAACATGAATAGTGTTTCATGTTAAATAACAAGAAAATGATTGAATTAGACATTACCACAATATCAGGATTGGAAGATGAGAATGAAGAGAAACTGGATGAGCGTATTGGACGAGAGGTCTCGGCCACTCTAAATCTCACGTTCATGTTTCTTAGACCAAGCGGCCATCTACTAGGGATCTCCTCTCCCTGAGGCAACCAGGATTGACTTAAAATAGTCCCTTATACCAAATATGTCATTAGGTTGTCACATTACTATTTTCTTAAATTGAAATCCACTTTTCTTTATGTTCATTCCTTTTAGTTTATTTCAAGTTTCCAATGCTATTATATATATTTACTTGATTTGTATTGCAGAGAAAAAAACATCCAGACATAAAAGGGTTAAGAACTGGAGTGTGGACCGATGGACATCTTAGAAAGGATAAAGACCCTATAAATGAAGCGGATGCCGAAACTTTGGTACGTGTATTATATCAACATTTTGTCAATAATAATTAAACTTATTATATGTATCACTTGCTAGTATAAAATTTAAGTTTTATAAGTGCAGAAAAAGATAGAGGATTGTGTTGAATCTATTTTCGATACACCAGCAGAAGATTCCATTCGGGATGATGCCGTTGCTCGAGTCCTAGGTCCTGAATGTCGTGAAAGAGTAAAGGGACTTGGATTTGGAGTTACATCATCAAAAGTCGATGGACACAATCAAAGTAATGGTCGAGTGAGAGAACTTGAAAGCCAACTACAAACGCAGTCGGAAAGGATGGAAGCACTAGAAGAAAAAGTTGAAAAGATGGGAGCACGAGAAGAAAAAATTGAAGCACTTCTGAAGTTATCTCAGGTTATATACTTTATCATTATATATAATATGATAACATGGCTTTACATAACTTAGGACGTAGAATAACTTTTTCATTTTTGTATTATTGTATAGATTTAAAATAAGAGTGCAGATGACATGGGTTCACGTACTTTTACTCTTTAGGTTACTATCTTATATTATTTATTGTTTGTTCAACATAAATTTAGACTATAGCATATTAATTTTGTTTTTGATATGTTAATTTAACTGTGAATTTGTAGTTTCAACAAGGAAGTGGTATTCAAGGAGGTACTGCACATTTGGAAAATTCAAGATGTCAACTATTGCATTGGTACCGATACGATGAGGAAGAAATTGTAGCAGAAGGAAAGATTTCATCAACGGACCCAAGTATAAAGGTGCACCACATGCCACTTGGACGAGATTGTTGGAAGGTTTGGGTTGAGGAAGTGTATATGGGTCATTTGGCCTTATATAGACCTACGGATGAATTTCGAGTTCTTAAGGAAGCCATGGGAAGTACTGTTGCCAGGCCAAAGAGTAGTATTAGACTCATTTGACGAAGGTATTTCGTGAATTTTTGGAAAGCCTGTTGGTCAGAAAATTGTTGGTGAAGTGTGGAGAGATGCATTTAAGGACGTTGGTGTGGAAGATGGAAGAACTTGTGGTAGTTCTTTTTTTCTTTGAAATGTATTGGATTTTTAGAAGTTTCAAAATTTTTTATATGAATTTTGTATGGATATTGTTACATTTTGGAGTTCAGTTAATGATGATTATTGGAGTTACTTGATATTGTTATCTTCTATTTTGTTTTATGGTTGATTTATGTAAATCATTGTACAAATAAAAGAATTAAAAATAAAAAAAATGTAAAATGACATACGACAACGTTCTCTGAACGTTGCCGTAGGATCTATAGCAACATTCACTGAACGTTGTCGTATGATCTATGGCAATGTACATTGAGCGTTGCAGTAATATCTACGGCAACGTGCGTTGCTGTAATATCTACGGCAATGTGCGATGCACGTTGCCATAGATCATATCGCAACGTTCAAAGAACGTCGTTGTAGATCCTCGCACGGTGCTGTAGATATTATAGCAAGGTTCAATGCATGTTGCCAAAAGTTAGAAGAACTCTACGGCAATGTCAAAGCCCGCAACGTGCACCCGAACGTTGCCAAAAGTCTATGGCAACGTTTTTCGAACGTTGCCATAGGCAGTTTCTGGTGTAGTGCGGTGTCGCGATCAAGTAATATAGTATGTGTAAAGTGTCGAACCTACAATGACTACGTGTTTGATCGAGTTAAAGTTAATAATACCCTTAATCGAATAGCAATAATAGTTTAATTATTTAGATATAGATTAAATAGCGCATGTTCTTTAATTTCATTCTCAAATAGTTTAAATACTCTAAATAACGATTCATCTAGAATCCCCATTGTTCATCTATTTTTAGTTTAACAATTAAATTGGCAATTTGTTATCGTGCGAATTGGTTGACGTTTCAAATTTATTTAAAAGCATTTCTCGATAGCAATTAAATATATTCCCCTCATGCGACCTTCCTATCTCTCGATGAAAAATACGAATATGATAAATGTATTAACGAACTAACATCATTATAAATCATTATATCTCTATCCTCTATCGAATCTCACAATATTTATTACTGTGTGCGAACGATTTTATTACCTCTCTCGATGATAATAAAATCCACAAACAATTCAACTAGTGGCCAATTAATTGAAAAGCAAATTAAATCATAATAAATATTCACGGATTCAAACGAATTAACGTCAAAATAATTAATATTGAAATTAAAAAAGTTAGAGTAGAACAACATCACCAGAAATTGACCAAATGTGAACAAATCTAGAATCAATTCTGTCTTCAGTTTCCCGTGTGCCGTCTTTTGTTGTCTGTGTGCAATAGTTCTTTTTTTCCAATATTGTGCCACCAAATTGCTATGCATGTGTCTATGTGTAAATTATATATATTGACCACAACCTTCCACGTGTATGTATATCTAATTGATTTCATAGCTTCTTCCTTTCAGTTTTTTTTTTTTGGCTTTAGTTTTTTGCCTTTTTCTTTCTCCCCTACGATAGCCCTTTTTTCACACACACACACACACACACACACACACACACATATATATAATTAAATTAATGCTTGCTTCCAAATCCTCAATTCTTTCATCTAATGCAAGTTGGTCCTTGTACATTATATTTTTGCCATTTTTCGCCATCTTTGGCTTCATTTCTTCACTTCCTTTTCCATTCAAAGAGTTTCACCTATTAAACATAAAATACAAAAAATTAAAGTATATTTTGTTAAAAAAACTATCAATTATCGTTATTTTAGGTCTCAAATAAGTGTAAAAATTAAACTTATCAAATACTCCCAAACTTAAACATTTGTTTGTCCCCAAACAAAATTATAGTCTAAATAATAACAAACACACAAACATGCAAAAATATTTGGTTAGACAATCTAGCTTTTCATCTCAGTATTTGAAATTATAGTGGTAAATCTACAAACTGTTTCAAAATCACAATACTAAACCAATATTCACTATTCCAATGCGAAATCGAGGTGTGTGTGTGTAGAATTAAGTAGACAAACATAACTTTACAAGTTTATTCAATTCCCAACCCTCTGTGGTCAAATATATCATTTCACCCCTCGTATGATTCACACCCCCCAAACTTGTTCTTTTTTCACTCTTTTCCCATTGTGTAATCTAAGGTTGCAGTTTTAATTACTATCCTCACTCACTCTAGTTCAGGAGAACTTTACTAATTGCAAGTCAACATATCAATAAACAAGGATTCTCCAATTCTTTGATTGCTTCGACCTCCAAGACTCAATTAGGCTAGTTATCCTTCATCAAAAGTCAAATTCCCTCAAATAAGTGTTTGGAGCGTAATCAAGGCATTTAGTGCTATTTTTTTTTCTTTTTCATGCACTTTTTTTTTT